AAAAAAAAAAATGAAAAAAAAAAAAAACAAGAAGAAGAAGTTGTAGACCCAGCAATGTTACTCAATGATTGCGAATATTGCTCCTTTTAATAGTTACAGAATGTGACTCACTGCCAGGCGAATGAGGTGCCAGTGATGCCACTAGCAGATCGGCATATCTTAAGATCTTGTCAATTATCTTCAAGATTGGCCGCACTCTTTTCGTTTCAATAATTTGTTGAGAATGGTCTCTGTCCAAACTACAAATCCACACAGCTGAACTTGAAATAAGTTTGGCCAGTTTAAGAATGCATGCAAAATTCACCTGCAAGAAAAAAGATTTAAGATTTCAGTACATGCCTAGGAATCGTTTTTAAGCAGGATTGTTTGCAAAAGTAAAAAGGACATAAGAGTTCCCAAATCCAAAAAACAAAGGCTTTCCATTGTCTTAAGTAAATTTTCCATGAAGCCTATTTTTCTGTCCGAGGCAATTTTATCAAGCTTTTAACGAATGATTGGAAGGCTAATGCACTTGAATTGTTCCGAATTAGCAGTTGTGCGTCAAATTAAGACAATAAAAACCCTAAAGAAACAAACAGCAAACGAACCTGAATGACAATTTTTCAGCAAACATTTCCAGAGGTATGGACAGCAAACAAGTCTCGATCCTTCGGTTAGTGAAAGCATATTTGTGGCACCTTATGGTTTAGACAAGATATCCTCGATAGTAAAGGGAGACAGATAACAGAAGATCAATATCCAGACACCCATGCAAAATTTTCAAAATCATGAGAAACAGCAGGTCCTTTCATCAGTAATATGAGGCCACCCAGCAGTTCATAGATTGACTTGGAACAAGGATGCAGTTTATCAGCAGCATAGAAAAAATAAGTAGTGTTATTGATGCTTATCCAACTGCACCCAGGAGTTTTTGTTAAGCATCTATCTTTCATCATTGTTCTCACCTCAGATACTACGTCCCATCTCCTGGAAGACGCATGTAGATTTGAAAGCGAGACATAATTCGAAGGGTTTTCAGGTTCTAACTGAACAAGGAACCTATAAGCCAGATCCTGCATCTCAGAATTTCCATGGATTATGGAAGCACTAACAAGAGCGCCCCAAACACTTGGACTAGGTTCCATTGGCATAGTTTTAATATAATCTAAAGCTTGGTCCAGCTGGCCTGATCGGCCTAACATATCCACAACACAAGCACAAATCTCAACAGTTGGCTTAATTCTATATTTATTCATTGCAGACTTGTAGATGCACAAGCCTTCATCTACCAATCCTGCCCGGCTACAAGCAGAAAGAACCCCTACTATTGTTATCATGTCTGGTTTATTCCCCAGCTGAAGCATCTTGTTGTATACAAAGACAGCTTCCTCTCCCTTCCCGTGCAATCCATAGCCAGAAATCATTGAACTCCAGGATATCGGATCCCTATGAAAAGAACCAAACTCAAAGACTTGTTTTGCATGATCCAAGCTCCCACACTTGGAATACATGTCAATCAAAGCATTGCATAAAGAAACATCACTATTGAGTTGCTTCCTAATGGCATATCCATGAATTTGTTTCACTCCAGTTAAACCAGCAACCGCGCTACAAGCAGGAAGAACACTCACAAGCGACACCTTATTAGGTTCTACTCCATCCCTCACCTGCATTTCATGAAAAAGAACCAGTCCTTCTTCTAGAGCTCCATTCTGCACATAACCATTGATCATTGCAGTCCAAGCATAAACATTTCTACACTCCATTCTATCAAAAACCCTTCTACCCACATCAACTCTACTACTCCTGGAGTACATATCAATCAAACAGCATCCCAAATGAACTTCTGTACCAGAACCCACGGCCAATTCAATTCTCACTATAAACCCATGAAGCTCCCTCCCATGGTCCCTTTTCCCCATATGCCCATTACACAGAGTCAAAAGACTGGAAACTGTAAATGCATCGGGTTTTAACCCCTCAATCTGCATGTCTTTAACAAAACCTGAAACCTCATTATCAAAATTACGATCCCCTGAATCCGCATAACCCGATAGAATAACATTCCAAGAACCGACATTTCTCTCAGGCATTTCATCAAATAGTTTCAAACATTCTCCAAAACCCCCACATTTGCTATACATTGACATAAGAGAATTGGCAACTATAACATCCAAAACAAACCCAGTTTTTAAACTTTTCCCATGAATCAATTTCCCTGCATTCAAGTCACCAATGTCGTGGCAAACTTTTGACATTGTTGCAAGGGTATAGTCATCAAGCAAAACACCACGGCAACACATTTGATAAAACCAACCAAAAGCTTCATTATAAGCACGATTTTTTACGAACCCATTAATCAGCGAGTTCCATAGGTAAACACTCTTGAAATGTAGCGAGTCAAAAACGAGTTGGGACAGAGCTGGGATGCCGAATATAGCATACACAGAGATGAGTTTGGTGGCCAAAAAGGGGTTTTGAGTGAAACCAAGAGAGAGAATTCGAGCATGGCATTGTTGAGTGAGTTTGAGAGACTTGTGGGTGAGCGATAGACGGAGTAAATCAAGGAGGTTTTCAGCTGAAGAGACCGGAGTGGCATAACAGTAATTACGGGAGCTTCTGAGGCTAACTGCTTTCCATACAGAGAAAAGAGTCATTTAGAGCTCTGGAGTCTTGTTTGAATTTGGCGGGTGATTCTTATAGTAGGGGAAAAAAATCGCTTGGGCCCGTTGGGTACGGAATATGGGCCTGCCCGTACGTCGCTTTCTTAACAATGGATACTTATTTTTCAAATCTGGATTTGGCCTTTATTTTAGATTTGAATTTTTAAGAGAATAATAAAAATCCATTTTCACTATGCTTAATTATCTTTTATAGTTTTTTAATACGTTTTCAAGTTTATTTAAAGTTTTGAAAAAAATTTCTCATTTTCTCATTTATTTATTTTTAAAAAAAATTTTTGGCTAAGCCAAGAGATAATTTTTTTTTTTTTCCTAATAATCCTGCATTTGGCCTAGATTCCATAGTGGCCAGCAAGGAATTTCTGCATAATATCCATAGTTTTAAAACCCGGCCCGGCCCGCGCGGGTAAACCTGGGACCCGGCCGACCCGGGGCTAGAACCGGGCCGGGTTGATGAAAAAATAAAGTAAGCCATGACCCGGCGTGATCCGGAAGACCCGACGGGTTGACCCGGAAACCCGGTCGACCCGGTAAAACCCGGTTAAAACCCGGTTGTAACTCATTGACTTTTTTTGTTTTTTACTAAAACGACATCATTTTAATTTTTTTAAAAAAATATAAATTGACCCGGCCGACCCGGTCAAAACCTGGAATCCGGGCCTTAGACCGGGCCTTGGACCGGGCCGACCACCGGACCGAGTTTAAAAACTATGATAATATCTTAATTTTAAACATCTTTCTCAATAATTATTATTATTATTAATAGGATGAACAACTCTAGCTTATAAAGGGCATTATTGCAGTAAACTATTCAATTTGTACTTTAAAAAGTCGATTTGTGCTTCATGAAACTTTAAAAAAAAAAATAGAAAGAAAATAAAAGAGAGAATGTTCTCTTTTCCCATCACATCCATATTATTTTCCACTTCCTTGATCACTAGAATTCATTCCGAGTCGTTTTCATGGAAGAACTCCTTTTTCTAATCTAATAGA